AAGAAAAGAAAGAAAGCTCCAGACAATCAGGAACTAATCCTACTTTTTTTTCTTCTAATCACTGTTTGCTCACAGTAAGGACTCAATAAATGTGTACTGAATAAATTATATTGTAATGTTGGATTTTCTAGTTTTATCTTTCAGTGACTAACATCTAGTACAGTATGGTATAGATCTAGTATATCTGATATATAACTAATGCAAATATGTAATTATTGAACGTATAAATGCATGAATGGTTGAATGGCTCCACCATTTAGGCATAGTTAACAAATTCAGTTGAGTTCAAACATGCAAACTGGAAACAATTTTAAAAATCCAGTGGTCTACCTCCTCTGCTCCTTTTGAAAGTAGGTTAGACTTAGTGACGTACTCCTAAAGAATAGAGTAGGGAAGGAGGAAAATTGTAACTCTATGGTGGAGGAACTTGGCAAATACCACCTTTACCAAATGATCAGGTTAATATCACCAAGGATATCATGTGGATATCATATCAAGTCTTGACATGATGAGACAAAAAGCGTGCTTCACCTCTACGGTATTCTTTCCAAAAGCCCATAAATCCAGTCCAATTATGAGTAAAACAACAGACAAAGCCAGAATGGAGGATATTCTACAGGAAGCAGTAATCCCCACAAAACAACTAAGGTTATTTAAAAAAAAAAAAAAGGAAACACAGAAATGGTTACAGATCAAAAGAGACTAGTAAGACACGCCAACTCAGTGCAATATGGTATCCTGGACTTGATCCTAGGATAGAAACCCTATAAGTGTAGTTAATAGTAATGTAGCAACATTGGTTTCTTTGACAAATACACCATAGTAATGTAAAGTGTTTAACAATGAGAAAAACTGGGGGAGGAATATACACGAATGCCCTGTATTATCTTTGTAACTTTTTGTAAATCTAAAATTCTTCTAAAATAAAAATTTATTTAAAAAGATTCAGTGGTAGATAACAGATGACACACTTAAGAGAATATATTAGGACTTAAGGAAGGACATTTGCAGGTAAACATCCAGACCATCCTATATGGGCATACAGTATTTACACGCTTCATAGATTTAAATACCTTATTATTATAGCAGATGCTTATATGACAAAATAAAATTAAATTCAATTATTTAGTTACATTTTCTTCCCATAATCTTTCTGTGATATTTACGAGTATTTTCAATTCGATTTTTGAAAGTAAGAAAGTGAGTTGGAGGGTGGTGGTGTTTGCAGTTTGCAGTGAGCTGCCTCAAGCCGGGAAGGGTTCTGTCTAGAGGAAGTCAGCCTCTATGGTCTCCTTGGAGCCTGGCTTTGCGGACTTGCGGGCTGTTGAGCAGTGTGACAGCAGGCCCCCTTTTACACAACAACCACAAGCATCAGAGCTACCGTCTTCAGAGAGCACACTACTGTGCCAGACTTCACAACATGGGTTCCATATACGGCATTACATTGAACCCTCAGCACTGAATGGGGTTATAACTATATCTTCATTTTACAGATGAGAGACTTGATCATCAGAGAAATTAAATGACTTTCTCAAGGTTGCAACTAAGATTCAAACACCAAAACTTCTGACTTTTCTACTAAATCACCAAACAAGAAAATTCCATTAGGGCAAATGCTTAACTAAATACCTAGTTAGGATACAATCCTTGTATCATTACTGTTAATCAATGTATTGATCTATTACACATTATACATTATATATATCCACATAATACTGAACTATACTGAGATTATGTATGTAAAGGCATACATGTCAAACACTATATTTGATATACAACAAATGTTCATTCCCTGTCCTTACAAACATCTGCTTTCAGTTGGCTCCAACCTGGTTTTTACTGCTTATATTTTAAAGCCTAGGTTTGTGGAAGTTATCATGGCCATTTAAGAGTGCAGGTAAACTGATGCCCAAAGTGTTTAACCAGTTTGCATAGGAATAGAGTTAAATTCTGGAAAATATCAAATTTTCCCTGATTTTTAAAAAATACATCATATGTTAATGAATCTCTTCTGGGGTTAGAAATATAACAGATATTTTAAAACATCTTATCCTTTGCCTAGATTACAGGATTATAAGCTCTATTAAGGGCCCACTTGTAGAGTTTCTGTTTATGAGATTGATTTTCTGATATCATTATTACAGATTTGCTTTAATTTTTTAAAATATGGCCACTGTCTCTTTATGTTGTACCTCTTAAGTTGAATAGACTGTCCCCTCTTGCAAACCACAAACAACTATTATCTGCGGGTTGATACATCTTATATAGTATGGAAGACTTTTGGTGTCTTACATAAGTCTGAAATTTACCAAAAAGAGCTGAGGGACAGATTGACAAAGACTATCTTTTTCCAGGATATTACTTTAGAAGGATTGTCCCCCAGTGAGATGGGGCTAAATGGAAGAGGGACAGGAAATACCTGAAAGAGTAGAGTGATCGCATTATAGACAGAAGAAGGGCTTTGTTAGATGACAAACGTGAGCTTATTATCTAATGTGAACAATAAGCAAGATTCTGCTAAACAGTGATGGCAAAGAACCACATTCTGCCTGGAGATATCACTTGGTGCGCCATCAAGAAAGGGAACTAACTTCAAACGCAGTACCACACTACTGCTCTAGCTCAGACTTTGGTGACAATAAATATGCCCTAAGAGGATTCACTCTCTTTGTTCTGGGATGTAGATCAGAGTCCATTCCTAGAGTCCCTTTTATCTAAATGTGTTGTGCAAACTTCATGTAATTAATGCTTCTGAAACAACATTTATTTTGGTATGCACCTCATAGATGAACTTAAACTTGTTTTCATCTTTATACTCAGTTTGAGCCCTGTCAGCCTTCCATGAATCTGTAATCTATTTCAAGTTGGAATCAGGCAAATGAGCAAAGGTTAGTAGGAGTGAATCCAGAAGCTCAAAGGATAAACTTTCCTGAATAACTACAGGTTAGAAGTACCATCACCTTATATTAAAAGTAGAATGATTGAGTTGGTCACTTTTACTTCCAATCCTTTGTTTTCTTCCAATCTAAATCTTTGGAATGAGTTTTAAAATCTTTAGAATAACTCTTTTATCCCCTTTTTGAGAATTTCTTTGTTCTTTGGCGTTCCAAAGACACTGTTGAATTTATTTGGCTTGCATTTATGCCATTGCCTCCCCCCATTTGACTTAAGAAGTTTCTTCACATAGAAATTTTATCACATATGCTGAGTAGAGCACTTGCCAGAAAATGTCATCTTCTTGGAAAAGCTCAAATCACAATTACCTCCAGCAATGGTGGACAGATAATGCCAAGGAAAAGATAGAACAGATAATTGAAAGCTACAGATAAGCTTCAAATCTCATTTCAGCTAAAAATTTCAAATGTGTCCCCACTCCAAACAGAATTTCTTCAGAGTTGATAGTAAGCTGCAAAATATTACTTGAGATCTGTTATCTTCTTTTAGGAACTGTTAGCTATTTGCTTGGGAACTTAAAACAAGAAAGAACATAAAACCCTCTTCTTCATGATAAGTAACCATTAGAAGTCAATTTAATTTACATTGTAGCTATGCTCCCCATCGAAAAAATATATGTCCATTACTTTAGGAGTCAAATTAGATTATATACTAGTCTATCATGTATAAACTCATTTATATTAGAAAATGGAATATATTGTTTACAGAAGAAAGAAATAAAGAGGTTTGGGGAATTGCTCCTCTTCCAGCTCAGACTTTCCTGTCCAAGGAAATGAGGATAAGGTATGGAAGTGAGAAGGCTGGGGAGAAACTAACAGGTATTGATGTCTAAGGAAGATAACGTCAAGGATCAAGGAATCTGAAGCAGCTGAGAGAATTAAGAAAGAAAATTCACACCAAATTCTCTAGTAGATTCAGTGATTAGACTACAAGGAGTATGGAGCCTCATCTTGTGCCAATTCCAGATTGTAGAACCCTCTGTACCCACCCCTAGGATTATCCTTGGACCTCAGAATTTCCATCCACTAAAGCTTACTTCAGATCACTCTCAGAAACCAGAGTTCAGAAGTCTTTCCTACTATTAATCCTGCCAGTTTTAACTATTTTCCTCTTTTACACAGGTAGGCAGGTCTATGCTTAGAGATCATTTGGGGATGGGGTTCATAAGTCTTGGGTTCTATATAAAAGTCATTTCTTTCTATCAGCATCATTGCCTATTCCTTTGGACACCAGTTTTCCTTATCTTCTCTGACTTTATTGCAGTTCACTATCGGCCCCCACCATTATGCAGGAACCAAGAACCCTAATATTTAACACTCCCATGGTCTTAACTTCTTCTATTTTAACCAATTACCTCATAAATTATAAGAGATTTAAAACAGTGACCAGAATGTAAAAAGTGTCCAATACATACTGATTGACTAGCGAGATGAACTAACAATCAGCTATGTATTCAAAGAAGCATACAGAAAATACAAACCTGGAGAAGTAATTCATATATTGACTCAAATGCATATTTCAAAAATAATGGCACTTGATCATCAATGAATCACTTTTTCATCACAACATTCCATATCCTGTGGGCCCTTCTCTGACATTATATAATAGCATAGTATCTAGAAGTGCTGAATGTGCTTCTTTGCCACCTACGTGAAGAATGAGGGAAGTGTTTGATAACGCAGTCTCCAGGAAGAGACTTGTGCTGTCTCAAGAGTTTTCTGGATGGTGCTGTACCACTGGTATCACCAATTATTTTGCTTTCCTCATTTCAGGCAAATCTGAGACTAAAGTGGTGAATAAGCCAAGAGATCTTGACTTGGCATCCACAGCTGAGTGATTTTACTCGTCTGCTTTCCTTTTCCAGTTCCTTTTCCTGTAGCCCATACATTATCACTTGGAGCTCACCTGTTACTATGTTTCACTTCACTTCTCTAACCATGATTTTTCAGGCACAAGGATAAGTGAATTTACCCATCAAACCCAGCAAGATCAAGAAGCTGAAGATAAGCTGATTGCATGAAATCAATTAGGCACTTCCAACTTACAAGCTTCCCGGAGTTTCTCTTTGTCATAGTGGAATCCTTCATAGTCTTGTAAACTGATTTTGTTCACCCGGATCCTCAGACGATCTGGGACAGACTGGGGACTGCAAAACAAGAACCGAGTGGTCAGATACAAACGGGAGAGCGGAATTGGTAGCCATGCACCTTGAGGACTAAGGGCAATATTGTCTCTTCCGGTTTAGAAGGAAGAGTCCACATTCAAACTGGAAAGGAGGGTTTCTTACCAGAATTCCACAATTATCTAGAGAACATTTCTCCAGAAACCAAACGTTTCTGGAATTTATATAGGAATGTGGCAATACGCAGAAGGAACCTTTGGAGACCACTTTTATATCATATTTTCTATTGATTTTTTAAAAAACATTTAATAAGACCATGTGTTTGTTACATAATATATTAGATTCAGCGAATCTGAAATGGTGGGATGTGGAGTGGAGCTGTAAGAACCACAGGCAAATATGCATATCACAATGAGACACAGTTAGGGGCAGTCTGACCCTCAGAGAGAGGGAAAAACTGTTTTTGAAAAGCAGACCACGAGTTCAGAAGGCACAGGGTGGAGGCTGAAGTACCTCTGCACAGCTCAATAGCCTCTGACAGCACCTCTCAGTCAAAGCATATTACAATATACACCACTTGTGATGGTGCCTCTGAGCATTCCAAAATGAAGAAAAATGTTTAAATATGTACAATGTCCTTTCTGTAGGAAGAGAATGAACTGTGTAACTCATTTTAAAAGAATTCAGTGCATACTGGTTCCAGACACATATTAAAAAATAAAATGGTGCAGTATCAAACTTTCTGAACCCCCTATTCATTCCCCAAAAGCCTATAACTCAACTTCTTGGATTTTTAAAGTGATATTTTGAAAGTAGTTTAAGCTGGGATATTAGTTGAGTGGAATAATTTGGTTTTCACCCCCAAGATGGATTGATACATTTCTTCAATATATTAATATAACACAATACCTACTTGTCTTTGAATACTACCTTATACCGGGATTTCATTGGTTGAAAGGTTTGTTTCTCATTTTTTATATTAAATGGTGATAAAAGTCACCACTGACTAAAGTCATGGCTAAAGTAAAAAGAATGGCATTATTCTTTAATTTGATCCTGTAAAGGAGGAAAGGGAAGGAAAGAAGGAAACAGAGAGAAATAAATAAAATAGGAAAAAGAAAAAGAGAGGGAGAGAGGGAGAAGGGAGGAAAAGAGGGAATGAGGCAAGGAAGGAAAACAAGAAAGATAAGAAGAACAGATAAAAGAAGGAAGTAATATGTCTACAATATTAGGAATCCTCTCTCTACCTTCACTTCAAACACACACACGCAGAAACACAGACGCATATCCATTTAATTTCACTAAAACTCTGAAGAGGGACTGAAAAAATAATGTAATCTCATTTTCTAAACCTCATTTGTCTAAAACCTCATTTTAGTGCAAAGTACAGTAATTCCCTCCATATGGAATCCCACTTTACTCACCCAAAATAACACACACATATCAAACTATAGATACACATCAGCACACTCACACATGGTACATAACACACACACACACACACACACACACACACCTCAAGATTTAAACTGTGGCTATTTTTTTTTTTTTTTTTTTTTTTTTTTTTTTTGAGACGGAGTTTTGCTCGTTACCCAGGCTGGAGTGCAATGGCGCAATCTCGGCTCACTGCAACCTCCGCCTCCTGGGTTCAGGCAATTCTACTGCCTCAGCCTCCCAAGTAGCTGGGATTACAGGCATGCACCACCATGCCCAGCTAATTTTTCATATTTTTAGTAGGGGCGGGGTTTCACCATGTTGACCAGGATGGTCTTGATCTCTTGACCTCGTGATCCACCCACCTCGGCCTCCCAAAGTGCTGGAATTACAGGTGTGAGCCAAACTGTGGCTATTTTAAAGTGTAGATATATGTGCACAAATTCTAAAGAGAGATGGTTGACAGGTAAAAAAGTCTGAGGTTCACTGGCTTAACACACAGTATAAAACTGGAGATGGATATTTCTGGGGGAAATTTCAAAAGACATACTCAACAGGTATATTGATCCATCACTCAAAGTGTGTTTGTTGGGTGCTTACTTTGTATTGCCACTGTGCTGGATATCAAAAAGGTATTGATGAATAAAGCCAGAGCATTTAAGTTGTGAGGGAATAGCTTGACAGTATATTTGCAGATACAGACCTTGAATATAATAAAAACTCATAATATTATTTATAGGTAGGGAAACTGAGGTTCAGAAAGGTGAAGTGATTTTAAGGTCACATAGCTACTAAGCAGCAGTGTGGAATGCAAAGCCTTGGACACTTCACTCATCAATTTCATGATCTTTCTCTGCTTCTATGAGGAGTTCAGACCCTCTTGTCAATGGATAAATACCAAGAATCCTATGGATTTGATAGCAAAGCTATAAAGTCTGGATTAGCAGAGTCTGATGATCTCTGTGTGCTGCTCAGACTTCTTTATCAATAAACAATCATCAGGCGGGGTGGTTAAGTAAACAAGAGAACACAGGGCAGAGAGTACAAATCAATGTGTAGGTCTTTATTCATTTAGAGGGAAGTGTGGCATCAACGTGCTGTGAAGTGAAAAAAGGGCTTATGCCATATATGATCACATGCATTTCTTCATGCACTTCTCTTGCATATGCAAACTCCTAACGTCCACAGTTTATATTAAGGAGCTTATGCCATATATAATCATATATGCATATAATCACATATAATCATATATGCATATAATCACATATAATCATATATGGCATAAGCTCCTTAATATAAACTGTGGACGTTAGGAGTTTGTATATGCAAGAGAAGTGCATGGAGAAATGGCCAACAAGCTGTTCCAAGTGGTTATCTCTGCGTGGTAGAACCTGGTGATTATTTCACATCGAGAACAATTTTTAAAGAACTAATACAGTTATTTTAAAAGCATGTCCATGTGTAAATAAATGATAACTCAGGACAAGAATAAAAATAAGGCCCATAGTAAAGAGTGTTAGGAATTAGATGCAAATAGGGAAGAAAAAACTTACACAATTAACAGAGTGACCACAGAGTGTTCACAACAGATTTTTATCCCCAAATTAAGGGGTCTGGTAATCCTTTTATTTCCAAGTTCACTCAATTGACCTGCAAAGATTGTGATCAGAAAATATTTTTCTGAACACATAGCAGATAAGGGGAAAGTTGGAACCATAGAATGTAGTGGCCTATCGGACTCTAATAGAAGCTGGGGGACAGAGGTTGAATGCACTCTACCTAAGCAATTTTTTGAGATAACAGTAAACCTAATGGCAGTGGGCTTCAGTCTTCTCTACTGCGCTGGAGGTGTCAGGACTAAGACCTTACTAGAGCAGTAGTTGCGAACGGGAAATGAGATTTGGAGAATGACTGATGACCAATTCCTACATCCGCCCTCCTGGAGTTCCCTGAATTGGGGCATACCAGTGTGTATCCCCTTTCTCAAAGCCCATAAATTGGCTGCTCCCTGTCCACACGCAGCTACCTCCCAGGTTCTCATCTACACCCTCTGACTCCAACCCATGCACTGTTGTCTCCTTAACCTCTGGCAGCCCAGTACTCTTCCCTAACTTCCAGGGGGCACACTATGGCATACAACAGACACTATCATTTGAATCAAACTTTACAGATCCCAAATGAATTCACATATTATCTCAGTTCATCTCCAGAATGATCAACTAAACAAGACAGAAGAAAACAAAGACTCTCACTAATTACCGCTTAAGAAGACTATAAATTGTTCTACTATAAGGACACATGTACACGAATGTTCATTGCAGCACTGTTTACAATAGCAAAGACCTGGAATCAACCCAAATGCCCATTGATAATAGACTGGATTGGAAAAATGTGGCACATATACACCATGGAATATTATGCAGCAATCAGAAATGATGAGTTCGTGTCGTTTGTAGGGACATGGATGAATCTGGAGAACATCCTCCTCAGCAAACTGACACAAGAACAGAAAATGAAACACCGCATATTCTCACTCATAGGTGGGTGACGAAAAATGAGAACACATGGACACAGAAAGGGGAGTACTAAACACTGAGGTCTATTGGGGGGAAAAGGGGAGGGCCAGTGGGAGGGGTGGTGGGGAGGGATAGCCTGGGGAGAAATGCCAAATGTGGGTGAAGGGGAGAAGAAAAGCAAAGCACACTGCCATGTGTGTACCTACGCAACTGTCTTGCATGCTCTGCTCATGTACCCCAAAACCTATAATCCAATAAAAATTAAAAAAAAAAAAGACTTTTTCCCACCCACCTTCCTACACATTCGCTCTCTGCTCTCAGCACCCATCTTTCTCCAACAATCTACAACACTTCCCACTTTCCCACTAGCAGCAGCTTCCTTCAACCCAGTCTTTTGAGCAGGATATCTGTTTTTTATTTTTAATCTCCTATCAAAATATAACCCAGTTGAGACCCATCAGTAAATTTGGGGACATTAGACCCTAGGGTCCATAATGGAAAACCTTCTTGAATCATTTGCAACCCTGGTGTAAACAGCTGGTATGCGAAGCAACACAGCAAAGTGGTGAGGAGCTCAGGTTCCAAGTCAGATTGCCCAGATTTGAAGTAAAATTCTTCCAGTTCTTAGTTAATCAGGAAACTCTGTGCTTCAGTTTCCTCATCAGTAAAGTGGAGATAAGAACAATATCCACCTCACAGCCATATTAACAGAATTAAATGAGTCTATTTGTGTGATATGCTTAGTGAAATGCCTGGCACATTGTCAGTGCTCAATAGATATTAACTATTATCATTATGATAAATATTCTGAAAATTTCTCTCCTACATAAGGTTCTGATTAATAATCAGCAGCATTTGCTGCTGCCGCCAGATATTGGAAGATGTTTAGAGCACATAAGGAACCTCTCTAAACATATCTGACAAGGTGCTGGGCTTCCTCTGAGGGAAGACTGTCTAGCTTGGCTGGTGGCATGACATTTTACACTTCTGGGTCCTCTTACACCTGGTATTTTAAAAGGCCAACTAAAAACATGAAAACAGACAGACAACTAGAACATGGGGGAGTGGGGGGAT